TTTTAGGTTGTATGTTTAGGTTTATAATCCATTTTGAGTTAATTTTTGTGTATTGTGTGAGTTAAGTAATGACATTCATTTTTTCCAAACTGCCTTGGATTAATAACCTTGATTCTTCATTTACTACAGATTACTATAGATGGTAGGCAACTCAACATTTCTGGGCCTGTTTCATTAATAATACAATGTAGGATGACTGGAGGGATTAATGTTAATTTATGTTAATATAGACACATGTTAGGGCCTGGGTAACATCACCTATATTGTGATTATCACATTAGAAAAATGACTGCCCTGGGAGAAGAATGGAAAAAATAACTGAAAGTGGTAAGAGGCCACTGATCCCTGAAAATGTGTAGATTGTTAAGGCATTTGACACCAACTCACCACTGTGTTCAGAGCTAGAGTGAAATTATGGAAGACACACAGAAAACCAATATCTTCATGGGTTCCAATTCAACTTCAACCTACCCCTTTGTAGTTGAAAGTTGAACTGAGAATTTCCAGTGGCTGATAAAAGTAGCTTAACTCTCAGGTCTACAGAGGGCTCAGACTTTATGGCCTAAGAATACAGAATGTGTCATGAGAATCCTTTGTCGGTACACGTTTCCAGAGGGTTATTACTTTGAAAGTAAAGCAATTCAACAAATGTTTTTTCATACCAAGAATATGGGGGTCTTAAGAACTCTTGAAAAATGGAATCCAGTCCATATATTCTCCCAATAAATTGTCTGTTGTTCAAGCCCATAAGAGTTTTGCTCAAGGTAAGTGATTTAAGGGCTGGCCAGTTAGCTCAGTTGGTTAGAGTGTGGTGTTGTAACACCAAGGTCAAGTAAATGGGAAAAAAAAAGTGATTATATTTTCTCTGTACTAACTGACAACATGAGCTTCTTCCTAGTGTGGCTCCCAAATCTCCCCTGAGATTTGCACAAAGGTTTTAAATGGAATCCTGGGAGACTNTTTCTCACTCTGTTGCTTGCCTTATCATTTTCATTATGGTATATTTCAAAGAGCAAAAGTTTTTTATTTTTTAATTTTGATAAAGCCCAAATTATCATTTATTTTATGTCTCAAGCATTTAATGTTCCAAGAAACCTTTGCTTACTGCACAGTTGCAACAACAGTCTGTCTGTTTTCTTCTAGAAATTTCATAGTTTTAGGTTGTACGTTTAGGTTTATAATCGATTTTGAGTTAATTTTTGTGTATTGTGTGATGTAAGTAACGACATTCATTTTTTCCAAACTGCCTTGGATTAATAACCTTGATTCTTCATTTACTATAGATGGAAGGCAACTCAATATTTCTGGGCCTGTTTCATACAATGTAGGATTACTGGAGGGATTAATGTTAATTTATGTTAATATAGACACATGTTAGGCCCTGGGTAACATCACCTATATTGTGATTATCACATTAGAAAAATGACTGCCCTGGGAGAAGAATGGAAAAAATAACTGAAAGTGGAAAAAGAGCACTGATCCCTGAAAATGTGTAGATTGTTAAAGCATTTGACACCAACTCACCACTGTGTGCTGAGCTGGAGTGAAATTATGGAAGACACACAGAAAACGAATCTCTTCATGGGTTCCAATTCAACTTCAACCTACCCCTTTGTAGTTGAAAGTTGAACTGAGAATTTCCTGTGGCTGATAAAAGTAGCTTAACTCTCAGGTCTACAGAGGGCTCAGACTTTATGGCCTAAGAATACAGAATGTGTCATGAGAATCCTTTGTTGGTACATGTTTCAAAGTAAAGCAATTCAACAAATGTTTTTTCATATCAAGAATATGGGGGTCTTAAGAACTCTTGAAAAATGGAATCCAGTCCGTATATTCTCCCAATAAATTCTGTTGTTCAAGCCCATAAGAGTTTTGCTCAAAAGTAAGTGATTTAAGGGCTGGCCAGTTAGCTCAGTTGGTTAGAGTGTGGTGTTGTAACACCAAGGTCAAGTATTTGCGGGGAAAAAAAAGTGATTATGTTTTCTCTGTACTAACCGACAACATGAGCTTCTTCCTCGTGTGGCTCCCAAATCTCCCCTGAGATTTGCACAAAGGTTTTGAATGGAATCCTGGGAGACTCTGTCTGGGATACATGCTCTGCAGCCCTCAGAAAAGCCATACACTCCCCCATATCCAAAATTAAAAGCCAAGACTCTCTTTTTATGGCTACAGGGAAGCTTCCCTACACTTCCTGAGATAGGGCAACTTTACTCTTCAACAAGCAGGCCGTTCACTTCACCTCTAGTGGTCACCATTTCCCAGACAAAAGTCAGGGTAAGTCTAGGTGTGGAAACTGTGCTCTGCATGTTTTCTATTTGAGACCCTAGACAACCATAATCAGAAAAAAAAAAGAAAGAAAACTTCATATTTAACACCATAATTAAATTTTCCTCTCATACTGATCAACATTAAGGTAATGAAAGGAGAAGTCTGAGTTTATGTGAATACCCTCCAGCCAAAGGCCACCAGGAGCATGCACAGTTGGGTTTACTGGTGATTGCAATAGAGGAGCCACAGGATAGCTCAGTAAGAGGGTGTTAGAAAGGACTTACTGTTGGATTTGGGCTTGTGTTAGATGACTTGGGTCAGGGTTCAAAAAAGCAGAGCTCTCCTCTGTATTGAATATTGTCAAGAATTGGGGGCAATTCTGATTGGAATAAATCTTAACCTATCACATGAGAGGAATACATCGAGGCTAAAGCTATAGTTGATAACAAATCAACAGTCCTTTATGCCAGCCAGGATAGGGGAGCGTTTGGCATTTTTGTGTTTGGACAATCTCTTTGCTTTTGTCACGTGTACCATCGTGATCACAGAGTGGTCTTGTTTCTGTCTTGTTGCATCATGGCACAGAGGGGCCTGGTCTGGGGTGATGTTCTGTGAAACTGTTTCTGTTCAACAAGAAAACACCAAGGCCTCGTTCTGAGTTCCTGGCAACACCAAGGCCTCGCTAATAGTGTAAAGTCAACGCCTAGCCGTCATTCTTTTCGGTTGTAAGGAAACATAAATCAAAGAATATAACCTAATCTAGGAGAACACAAATGGCTTCCCTGAAGTACTGACATTTAAACTAAGAGTTTAAAAATTTTAAAGATCTACTGTTCCCACAGTCCCAGGGGTTCATTTAGCCTTTCTTTCTGTTTTCTTCCACTCACCAACACTATTTTTTCTTTCAGATAATTTATGCCTCGAAAGCATGAGTCAAAGCTGGCTTCTCACACCTTTCCCAACCTTCTCTAAATGTGAGAACATTCCCTGGCTGTGGAGTTTCTATGTCTGTTGAAAGTTCTTGTGAGAAAATCATAATCATAATCATAACCATAATACCAGCTCAATTTAAAGGATAAAGTAAATGAAAAATAAGACATATTTAAAAAGGGGAAAAAAATATGTTTAAAGACATCACAAGATTCTTGGACAGAAAACAAATAATTAAATATTGGTCTCAAAATTGCATTCCTGATATAGAGTATTCAAAAATAAAAGATTTGGTCTTCAATGTTAATGAGGTGAGCTTGATTGGTACCTGAAGAAAAGGTGAGGAAAGCAAATATATCCTTTTCTTCTCCCTCATTTCTAGGATTGATGGTATATATGAGAAATAGAAGTTTATCCTACTGCAGAATTAATAAACTCTCCTGCAAAACTCACTTAATGAAAGTTTTTAAATCTCATGAAATTCCAGATCTTCAAAAGACCTTAGGAGATTAGAAGTTAAAGCCTTGAGTCAAATGGGCTGAATGTCCTACCTGCTGTCATGCTGAACGATAATTTATATAAGATTCATCCATTATCTGGCAAAAGGAGACATCCCTCTAAGAAATAGCTGTGTATCCCTACCAGCAAGAGTGTACCCTGATCTTAAATCCACACAATTCATGAGGGAGGATCTGGGAGATTAGGCATTGAGTAACCTGGGATATTTCTTACTACTTATAATTCCCAACAGCATTTTTATTTTAAATTTTGGTGCTGAGGTAAACCATGGTGATAGTGAAACATGCTAGATGGGTTATTTTGTATTTTCTGTCCATTGAGAGAGAATGCATTAGTATATATCTCAAACAAATTGTTGCTTTTGTTATTTTAGTTCTATGTTTGGATTCAGTTTCCACAAATATCTATCTCTGCTTCCTTGAAGACTGTGCTGGGTGCTTTCACATCACTGCCATGCAACAATGTGGTAGAATAGTATTAATATCCTGATGTTTTGAAGAACAGTTAATACAGACCCATAATCTTCTACATAACACTTAGTAAAGCAAATTCCTGCTGATGGTGAGAAGCTCAGCATATGAAATAGCACAGAAATTGTATCACTGACCAAGAGATAATCTTGAAAGTACATGTACTTCAGACTCAGAAATATTGCAAAGGAATTCAAGACCCAAGCATGTAAGTCCACATAGTAGAATTCTTTTATAGGTATGGAGTCTAAATACAGTTTGAATGCAAATCAGTTTCATATGCACTCATAAAAATGTCTGTATAATTACAGGGTGCCAAACCCAGTGCACAGCATCTAAGAACTAGCATGAGATTACAGGGACTAATTACTCTGTACGATCTTAAAGGGCACAAAGAGCCTGGCAATCTAATTCCTTCCCACTACAGTATGCAGTAGTGGGTGTCTAGAAGTTAAAACACTCTTAGATTTCACATTCCTTTTGTACTGCTAAATATTTGCCAACATATCTTATACAATCAGCCATATTTTAACAGCTTGTAAATTCTACTAATTAAAAATGATACAAGCAAGTTGAAAGAGCAGCCTCAGCAGCAGAAATTGGCTGACAAAAATGCCACACTGAGTTGGGAACCTCTGAAGTTTCTGTCTGCTTTTTTCCACTACTCTGCTGTATATAGTTAAAAGTGAATTTGCTCAATATTTCTGTTTTTATAAGGAGTTATTTTGTCTTATGTTTAAAAAAAAAAGAAAAGATAAACATTGAATTTGGCTGTTTAATTGTAGCTAACAGTATGTCAGGCACTCTCAGTTGCTATCTGACGTACCAGACATAAACAAACAGAGAAGCAGGCTCAAGATTCTCACCCATTTTGGAAAACAGAGGAACACGCCGGTAACCTGCAAAAAGAATCATATCTAATAAGAACAATAAAAATAAATGAACCAGTGCTACCAAGAAAGAAGGTATCTTTACTAAGCGTACATTAAACAACATGACTGTACAGTTATATTTCCATCTTTTTTTTTTTTTTGTCTTTTTTCCGTGTCTGGCAACGGATCGCAACCCTCAGTGTCGCC